TTTTGCGCTTTGAGGAAGTGTAACTTAGGTCACCGACCTTTCGTTCTATACTTAGAACATGTACGAGTTAGCGGATCGCAATCCGCTTACTCCAAAGGCTAATTAACTCTTCGGTTTAAAATCCAAAACTGATTTTTATTTATTTTTTATCCTAACTTTTGAAGTTTAGATTTTCCCAAATATACTAAATATATATAGTAAAATCTAAATACATGCATGACTACTGGCTACCTAGCCACATACCGTATTCTGCAGTCACACCATGCACATCTCGTGTGACACACACCCCTGTTACCAGGGTACGTGTAACCCGTTACATAATAAGTACATTCCAATGTCAAGTATCTGTGGATATAGCAGAGTAACCTAGATCACAGTACTTCCCTCTGTTCCACTCCTGCGTGGAGCGTACATATCAAATTTTTAGCCATTTGTTAATGGAAGAGCACCGCTGTCTGTCTCCCTTATTTTAGTCACAACTGTCCTCAAGAATAATTTGGTCAGACTCATGTTCAGATTTGATCGAATACTTCGGGATGTGTAAAAACGATCCAGCTGACCAGTTGTTGATGCCGGACAGTATATAATTTTTTGTCCTTGGTACGTTGTGATTTAACTGCCATACTTATCCCTAAAGGAAGTACATATGGCGGTCAGATCACATAGATTGAACAGGTCATAACAGCCGAGGTCGTTAGATATGTTTAAGTGCCAGGTTTCTATCAACTGATGCACATAGGTTGAATTTACCGAAGTGCGTGACAGCGTAATAAAGCTTCTTAGTTTACATAATTTCCCCCTTTTACTGCACCGATTTCAATATTGTATCTTTCGCAAAAAAGCTATTCGATATAGCAAGCACCTTAAGGTATTCAGTCACCTCACGAATGCTTTCGTGATGAAAGCTACATTGACCTAGTCACCTTGTCGCTCTTTTAATCATTATCATATTTCGCTTGTGCGTCACTAACGTCGGTGTTAATAACACAACATTTGACAATATATTGCGCCATTCTAAAGTCTGTAGACCTTCACAAGTGGCCTTTATCAGTGAAGACTATAGTGGCAATATCTAGTTAGCCGGACCTCAGGCCCAAGCTCGCGTAATATTGGTCAAAATCAGCGGCTAAAACAATGAGAGCATTATTCGCCAGAGATGGTTGATCGTTTTTGGACAGCTATACGAAATTATAGAATAAAATGTGTATTGATGATGATGACCTATGACTCTACATGTTAAGGGCATTCGATAGGCTGATGATGCAGCGCAAACGCAAACTAAACGACCAAATGAACATTAAATTACCATATAGACTTAGTCGTGGGGTCTTTGGGCTAGGGCATCACCCCCCTTGTAACTGTTGCACTGAAAAAATGATGTGTTAAATTTGGTGTACACAAAAACACAATTTTAAAGCGCGGCGGGAATTTTTAAGCACTGAAACATGGTGCGTCGCGCTGTCGATAGAGCTGACAAGACTGTGACCACTAATCATAAGCGGAAAAAGCAAGGACAAGACATCAAAGTTGTTGGTTCAAAGAAAAAGAATCAGCGGCGACGCAAGAACTCATGGGATTATGAGGACGCCGACGACGTGGAACTCGACGATAAGGTTGAAGACGACAGCGAATCTGAAGACAAGGCGTCGAGGCTTAAAAAGAAACGTGCATTGTCCAGCAAAGATTTAGTGGTGAAGAAGGGTCAGAAAAAGAAGGCAGCTGGTGTACCGCTGGACGAAGATAAAGACGAGGAGCGAGATCGCACTTTGTTGGAGAAGAAGTACAGGAATAAAAAGCAGCAGTATGAGCGCGATAGTGAGCAGCTGCTAATAGAAGTACGCGAATTGGCGCATCAGGAGAAAAAGACTCAGGAAAAACTTATCGAGAAGCTTAAACGAGATATTACGACACTCTCGAAACAGGCGGAAGAGGAACGCAAAGGGCGCAAGAAGGAAGTAGACAGACTCGTAGAGGAAAAAATGCGCGAGTATGATGCTAATCAGAAGAGAATCGTTGATGCAGACCTCGAAAAGAAGGCTCTGCGTGAACACATTAAGGAGCTCGAATCCCAATTTGCTTCGTTTAAGAGAAGCACAGGACCGGACGATATCGTGACAGTCAATGCGGCGGCAGCTCTGGCTACTACTGCCGTGCAAAACACTGAAGCCATGTTGCAGTTAAACCAAGCCAACAAGGTTAATTTGAATAAATGGGGTTGTACTTCTGCAGTTTGGTGAGCTGACTCGTAGCTTTGCAATTGTTTTTATGCAGCTGCTTGAAATGTACCGCGTGATAACCAGCACAGACATTCGTTTAATTCAGTCAGGCGATGATGACGACGATGCTGACGATTGTACCGAGGTTGTGTGTACAGCGACAGATTCTGCAACAGGAAACCAATTTGATTTTGAGCTGGCTGTACCTACCGTTGCATCAAGCGAGATTGAGTATCTTCCAAGCGAGACACCACCTACAGGCGTTACCGTGCCCTCATATTTACGAGTAAGTTATAGGTAGACTGCTTTTAGAAGTCGCATTGCGTTGACTACCAGTATGATTTAATCTATCGTGCTCTTTGTAGGAGGAGCTGAGCTTCAGTAGGTCCGAAATGACCAAATTTATTCGATCAGTTCTCGACGTAGTAATTAGAAAGAAAAAAAGCTAACAGCTTTCTGTCGAATGTAAGCAAGACTGGAGTATGATCCACATCTCTCAAAGCTACTTCGGTAATCCAAAGTACACTTGGTCGAAATCGACACAAAGAGACATTTCGACTGACATTCAAATCAAAACGTTCATCGATCTAATCGTTTGAACAACGATGAGACGTTTGTTGTGTTTGGGGCGTCTACAATAGCTCATTCTCCTTCCGACAATCGGGGCTGTATGTGTTGCAGCAATATAGCAAATTGAATTGACTGTTCTTAGTTCTTACAAGTCTGCAGATGTGATTAGAAGGATCCTGTACCAACATTGCCAGAGAGAAGCAGCAATTGCTGATTAGTCATCTTCAATTGTGCCATCAGCTTTCCTCAATTTGGGTTTGGCTAACGAAGGCAATCCGATTGAGAAGCCCGGAAGAAGTCACTTGTTACTCACTCGGTTAAGCTTACATTTGCGGCAATTTGTTTGTACTCGTTCCGTGCTTTAACATCTTAACGATGAGATTCGAGATCCATCTCAACTTGTTTGAGCACATTTCGGCTCACTTCATAGGTATAACCCTGACCAAGTCGGCAGCTGCATTGATTGCACTAATCTATGCTGCAAGCTTTCGACGGTCTGCTGGTGAAGTTCCTACCAACGCCGCCGAAGGCATTTCCTGTCTGCTCGTCAATGCCCACGAAGAAGACATTCCGGATATGCACTGAAAGGTTCTTGAAACAATTAGTATGTGATTGAACCATAGTTGCCAAATACGTTTGTACTTCCAAGTCCTGGGGAGGCTGAGTCGGGCATCTCCAGGGCTGACGTCCATAGCTTTGGGTGGGCTTCGAAACAAGGCATACTAGGACAGCGATTGTAACCGTGTTGCACTGATACCAAGATGTCTTGAAGTATGTCGGCCCTAACAAAAATGATTCATTGAAAATCAAATGAATTACAACTGGTGTAGTCTCGTGTCTCTACAGTCATGAAACGCCACGTATCGAAAAAAACAGCGTTCCGGTGTAGAGGCAGCTGATCAAGGTTGTATGCTATCTTATAATCTAATTTTCAATATTGCTGTCAGCCCGGATTTGCCCACGAATTAGATGAAGATGCTGAAAGTGAAGCACGCAGCTTTCATAAAAACCTCTGCGAGCGCCCCATGCTCGGCACATTTTGTTCAGGGTTGGCAGGAAGTCTGCCATAGGTACGTAAGCTTCAGATGTAGCAGCTTTTGTATGATAAATAATTGACGTTTCCTTTAAGCTTGTCTTTCACAAAGTCTAAGATTAGACTGAATCTGTCGAGCCCACAACTTCCATGACCATCGTGCATCATCGTGTTTTGGCCATTCAGCTACATCGTTTCACTTACTTGAATGTCAAGGCTCACGAACGTTAGGCCACCAATCGGAGTTCGCATTAAATTTTTTGTCGAGATCAAATTAAATGCACTAGCTATCCGTCACTGTTTCTCTACGGATATCGACGTGTGATAGTCCAGCTATTTACATATTTGGTTAGGTAAATCCAACGTTAAAATTGCAGCAGTATGATTTGTGCTTTAGCTTCCCGCTAGTTATTACCGCAGATCATTTCAGCGGGTCGGTAGATCCTACCTACAATCTATCAAGAAGCTTAACCACGATTTTGGCGAGCCAGAGGGCCAAGCCACTTCGCCTTCTCCTCTGCCGTCTGGAAGCGACCGTGACCGAATTTCGACGAGGTGTCGATGAATTTGAGATTGATCTCTTCAAGGGCAGAACGCTTTGTGTGCACCAATAGCGACTTGCGCAGCGTGATAGCACGCTTCTTCGTACCAACTATAGCGCCTTTGATCATGAGCCAGTCTTCGTTGATCACACCGTAGTGAGGGAAGCCACCTAGTGGGGTGATATCCTTCTCCGTCAGGTCTTGCTCGGTCATGCATGACTTCTTATCACCGGCAGCACCAATACGGTAAATTTTCTTGTTAATTTCTGTGCGGTGGTGGTAACCGTGCTGACCAGCACGTGGCACAGTAAAACGAACGCGCGAAGGGTGCCAGGCACCGATACAAGCTACCTTACGAAGACCACGGTGAGTCTTACGCGGTAAACGGGTAACACCCCAACGTGTGATGACACCTTCAACACCGTGACCCTTAGTGACACCTATGACGTCAATCATTTCGTCTTTGGCAAATACAGCAGTAACTGGAACCTGCTTCTCGAAAAGCGACTTAGCAAAGTCGACCTTGTCAGCAACCGAGCCACCATTGACTTGGATCTCAAGGAGGTGAGCTTTTTTCTGACGAAGCTTCACCTTGCGAACCTGAGTATGGGCAAGCACGCGCACGACCTGACAGTACTTCTTGATGCGGTTAAGCTCGTTCTCAATTTCAGCAGGAGCCGTCTGGTATTTCTTAGCGTATTTTGTAAAAGCTTTACGCTTCGACTTGTACCAATTCTTATAGAAGCGGCGCTTGACCTCCTCACTCAGATGCTCAGCAAACACTGTTGTAAGGGTACGCAGGCCTCGCGGGGTCTCCAGGTAACCGACGACACCAATGACAACCATGGGAGGTGTCTCCACAATTGACACAGGCTCGACAATCTCCTTCTTGTGAACCTTTGAGCCGGGGCGGTCCACTTCACGCATGATGTGCGTCATACCGGCTTTGAAGCCCATAAATGCTGTAAGATGTGGCGCCTTAGACGCATCATCACGAGGGAACTTGCGAACGCGGCCGCGGTGGTGTTTGGTACGCTTTTTAGGAAGAAAGCCCAGATGGCCGTGGCGCGGAGCCTCAAACTTTCGGTGACCCATGCTAAATAATCGAGAGCTGCTGCAAAACTCGAAATGGCTGAAAATGTGTGGAGGAAGGGAAGACGTCGTCACCAGCCAATCACTTAAATCGGACTTTAACGAACGAAGTGGCTATTACAAGCGAACCCCTCGGTAATCATAGTCACGGATGGCGATTTTTATTCTAGTCTGAGGAGGTTTTTGTTGTGACAATGTTAAAAGCGCCTCAAGTATCTCTGCTGAACCTCACGAAATTTAGAGATCCTTGCACAAGCTCCGTTGAAGAGGACAATTAAGGCGTTCGGGTAACGGTGTCATGAACTACGCAAAGAGAGGCTGATCCATTCGTAGGAGAGTGATAGCCCAGATTAGGACGTCCAGGAAGAACTTGAACTTAAAGGCATACAGGCACAACTAATGATGCATTCATTTGTTCCAACGCTTCAGAGGTCAGTGGGAGATTTTGATACTGGAGCGAGCGCTTCATGTTAAATTGGATAGAACTCAAAGTCGCTGATTTTTCGAACAACCCTAGAATATTCTTACTTTGTATTTATTTGACATGTGAGGGGTGAGAGAATATATACTTTATCTTATCATGTCACCATTTGACGATGGAAGACACTTTGGCATCCATAATAGCGTCTATGGCTGCGGCTACAGGCAACGCATCACCTATTGAATGTAATGCTCCAAAGAGAACTAACGGGGTCGATGCAGATCCAATATCCACGAGTAAAAAACGCGAGCGTGTGTCATCATTAACGCCACCATCAGGCATTTGGAACCCAAATGCGGAGATGCAGCTGTCCTCCTCTACTCTTCTCAAGCTTGAAGAAGCTGTCAGGACGTGCAACGTTAGTCCAGCGATGGAAGTTGCGCGTCATCAGATAGTCCGCGCGCTGTGTAAAAAAATTCGGCGTGCTAGCGAGGACCTTGGCATCGGAAAGTTGTCCAACTCAGCTTTCGAGAATTGGCAGCTTACATCACAGCTTACGTACAATAAGCTGGATCCGCTTATTCCTCCGCCCGAAAATGACTACAGCACTTTAGCTGAAGAATTTCGCAAAGCAGGAGCGACCAGGTCAGGAGCTACAAAGATGTGCAAGGCACTTAGACGCGAGTCGGATCGGATGCTGCGTAAGTTTCACCAGCAAAACTTTGTGAACGGCAAGAACATGGTTCACGTGACGGTATCAAATGATGATATGCGTCTGTTGACATTCGGCCAGTCGACAGTGAAAATTAGTGCGATTCACTTTGCCAAGATGCGCGAATTGTATGCAAGAAAGCATGGACTTGATAATGGTGACGGATCAAGCATGTCATTGAAAAACCAACGCCATTTTGCAACCGCGCTTTTCTGCTTGTTGCTGCGTTATGATTCGCTTGATGGTGGGGGATTTCAGGTATTAGAACTGAGATAAATTCGAGCTGGTTTATAGTAAATAAATCATTATTTCTCTGGTTTAGGCTGCACTAAATGAGGAGTGCTTCGATGTGTTGTTGGAGGAGTTCGATTGCAAGATGGAGTGCTTCGCATCGCCGCTGAATTGCCGTTACTCGCGTTTCTGTAGTGCTTTTCTCGATACCGACTTTGCATTTGGAAGCGTCGGCAGCTTTTTCGACTTTTCACCTCGCTCCGGGTACGCGCAGCTTGTGTCCTTGAGCTGGAATGTACTGGAATGTTGATATACTTTATGTCATTCTTCAAAATAAAAGCTGCTTTGAAGCTAATCCACCTTTCATTCCTAAAGTGATCAAGCGGATGGCAGATCATATGGCAGAGCTTCTTACCGCAGCAAACGGCCCTTTGACGTTTATCGTCATTATCCCCTCGTGGCAAAAGACCGAGGTATGGATCGGTCTTGATATTTATATGCTAGGATTTCGAGAATGATACGCATTGGTGTGATTTTCAGGGATGGCAACAATTGAATGCAAGTCGTTATAATCAAAGACACGTACTCATTCCGCAGAAACAACACGGATTTTGTGAAGGGAAGCAGCAGCTTCGAAAGACTCGCTGGCGCATCGCATCATTCGATACAAGTATTTTTTTCTTGCAGAACTCTAAGGCATGCAATCAATGGCCCGTGACAGATCAAAAGCTCAAGCTTCTCAAACAAGCATTTAAGTCTAAGCAAGCTGACGAGCGCGACGCTCTTGGGTTACGCCGATCCGGCAAACGGGTTCGATTAGCAAAAGACCAATGCATTCGACAGAACTGAAGTTGCTTACTGAATATAAAGCTACTACAATCGATTTTGTTCTTGACCATAGTAATAGATGCTTACGACTCCACCACACCCTCCTCTTCCGTCATGATATTCGAAATAAAATCGAGAGATTCTCTTTTTGTCATCGAATAGACGTTGCTAATCTTGTTTTGATGGCCTATTCCATAAAACTTGTCAGCAATGTTTACCAGTTCGGGACGAAATGTTGACGTGATAAACTGAGATCATTTCAAGACATGTCATTCACAGTTAACAGCGTGGTTTAGACAGGTGAGTAAATGCTAGCATACCTGTGCCGGACTATCCTTTGAATGTGCTTGGCGGTGAATTAAAGCCGCGACAGCAGCTCGGTGAGTGGAATCTAACGCTTGATCTATCTCGTCAAATAAGTAAAAGGGAGCGGGATCGACTCGCTGGATGGCGAAAATAAAAGCGAGGGCCACTAAGGCCTTTTGACCTCCGGAGAGCTGCTGCATTAGATACGAGTCACCCTCTCCGCGGAAATTTACCTTGATTTGGACTCCTAAGTACGTGTCAACATTCGACTTAAACGAAGAATCACCCCCGTTTGTGATGCCAGCCTGGCTAGTATCAGCACTTATCATGACCATCTTGCCTTCTCCTGTCGGCACTAGCTCGCGAAATACTTCCGAAAAGAAGCTCGCCACGCCTTTAAACGTACGAAATATAGCTTCATCCTTTCGCTTATCCAAGACGTCGATAAGGTCCTCGATCGACTTGTAAGCATCGTCAATCTCCTTTTTTCGTTCCAAAAGCGCCGCGCGCTGCTCGTTAAAATTCAAAAATTGATCTAGAGCCTTTTTGTTTACGTGACTGTACTTCTTTAGTTTTTCGGTTCGTTGCTTGAACTCATTAATCACGTCTGATATAGGTAATGCCTTGAATTTCTCAAACTCCAAACTAGATAGCGTTCCTAGCTCGCGGATACCTCGCGTTGCATCTTCACACTTTTTCAGCAAGCGACTGCGCTTATTCAAGATCTTTTCAGTTCGCCGAGCTTCCTGCTGAATCTGTTCACTTAAGGTCACATCGTCTGCTTTTAAAGAGTCAATCACTAATGTTTCATTGATGATATCCTGCTGTAATGCCTCTATCTTTTGCTCAAGATCTTTCAGTGACGACGTGTTGTCATCCACCAAGCGCGAAGCATCAATTAAATCTATTTGCTTGGCTTTGAAAGTTTCCTCTCGTTCATTAATTGTCAATATTTCGCCCCCTTCTCCGAGATGGCACGCCAGTTCACTTTCACGTCGAATCAGGTTTTCCTCTAAGATGGTTTTGATGCTTTCGTTTTGTGAGCGAATTTCTTCCAAATGCTGCCGCTGATCTCGTTCTTCAGCCTCCAGTTTCGAAATTTTGGCTGAAAGAGAGTGCAAATCTCGATGCTCTTCGGCTGTCAAGGTGTCTTGCATCGGAGTGAGAAGCTCTGAACGAAGCGACGTGATTTTCGCCACTAAATTTTTCACGTCTTGCTCCTGAATCTCGCAACTTCGTTCCCTCTGGATTAAATTTTCTTTGTCAGTGCGAACTTGGTTCTTGCGTCGATTTATTTCATCAAATAAGCGCTCATGAAAAGAGATGGCCCATTGTTTTTCAGCCTCAAATTTTTGGCAATCGCTTACCATCTTGGTCACCCGTTGATCTGCTTGCTGAGCCTCTGTTGTCACTTTTTGAGCTCTATTCATAACTCTTTCCAGATCGACTTGCGCCTGCTTTAGTTCCATCATCGCTCGGGTACGAGAATGACGAGGGTCTTTATAGCCACCATTAAGAGCACCACGACGATGCACCATATCACCGTCTAACGTTAAACAGTCCATATTTGTCTGCTCAGCATACCGAACGCAAGTGTCAAGATCCCGGCACAATAACTTTTTACCAAAAGCGGCCATCACACCTTTGTGAACCTCGGCCGGGTATTCTAGTTTCTCTACTAGCGCAACAACGTCATCATTACGCGGATAATCAAATTTATCCTTTAACTTCAAGCGATTAAGAGGTAAAAAGGTAAGTCGACCAAGGTTCTTCTTCTCAAGTTCCCGCATTATTCGTGCAGCCGTTTCATCTGTGTCAACAACTACATGGAAAAGTGCACCACCAGCAGCCTCATCTGCTGCGATACAGTAGCGCTCGTCAACAGGTTTTACAAGATCGATCAGCGGACCAAAAATTCCTCGAATCCGGCCACGCATCTCCTGAACTGCCTGTAGACCATGGCGAACATCGTATGCCATAGTGCTCTGCAACGCGTTTTCACCATCGCTCACCGTTTTTTTTAACGCGCGTAGATCATAAGAAATTTGATTTTCTTCGCGCCACTTTTCCTTTCGCTCTTCATTTAAAATGTTGCGCTGCTCCTTAAGTCGCAACAATTCGGCTCCCACTGCGTCCATTTTCTGACGGTGATTTCGTAGCTCTTGCATTTGTTGCTCAAGCGTTCGCTCCGAATCTTCTATAGACTTGGCCAAGCCCTCCATTGCGTGCTTTATTGATGCCGTATCAGCTTCTTTCCGACGTACGAGACTCTCAATGTCACTGATCTCACGCTGTAGATAGTCATCGCGCTGTTGCTGCGTGTGAAACTGACTTTTGCGACTTTGCTTGGCAATCAGATGCTCCTGCTGTGCTTGGCACTCCTGGAGACTTCGTATCACTTGATCGTGCAATTGCTCTGCCTTTAGTAATGCCGGAAGAATCTCATTCGTCAGCTGAGCTCGCTTTGCTTCGATTTCGCGCTTGACCACTTCGAATTCTTTAGAAACCGCTGAACGCAGCATACCGTCAGACCGAATTTGTTCTCTCAGCTCTTCTACCTTCATCTCAAGCTTGTATCTCACTTCCATCAGTCCTTTCCGCTCATCCTCACGAATCTTTCGTTCTTCGACAAGTTGGTTCAAGTCTTGTACTTTTCTTTGATGGTCATCATTAATCCGACTCATCTCAGTTCGAGTGTGCATGAGCTTTTCATGCAGATCCGTCGACCGCGCGCTCTCTTCCTGCCTCTGTTTCTGTAACACTTCGATCTCTTCTTGCGCTTTCTGCAGCTCTTTCTCGTGCATCGTGTACTCTAGCGCTCGCTGCTCTCTATCCAGTTGTTGATATTCTTTTAGTTCCTCCTTCTCCTCCTCAAGCTCCGCCAATCTCTCTTCAATATAGCTTACAACTTCTTTAATTTTATCACGCTGTGTCTGTGTCTCTGACAGAATTTTAAGGGACTTGACTCGCTGGTCCTCGTACACTTTAGTGCCTGCTACCTCCTTTAGCAACTCAAGTCGTTCTCGCTCACGCATTACTGCCAACGAGTTGACCTTCCCTTGTTGAACAATGTAGTAGGGATTCGAACGTGAGAAACCTGCACTTTCAAGTAAATGAACCACGTCGCTCTTGGTGATGTGTTTACGATTAAGGAAAAACTCGTCCTTCTTGACGCCAATTGTGCGTCTCAGAGTCACCTCCGAGTCATCAACGGGTAGACGACCATCGCTATTGTCAAAAATTATTTCAACATACGCCGACATGACATGCTTACCAGATCCCTCGTGTAGCAACGCCTGACGTTCGTCAGAACGCAAATTGGCAAAACGGGTCGTGAGTAGTCCGAAACGGATGGCATCAAAGAAGTTGGACTTTCCCGTGCCATTGCGCCCGATCACCACATTGTGTTTGTTGCTAAAGGGTTCTACCGTCACTTGGTCCTTGTAGCTGCGAAATCCGCACACTACGACCTGCTTGATGTGCATTGCTAACAGAGAAGCTTTTACAATGTATTGGTTGCCCTTCTTGTTGCCGCTTTTTGATTGGCAACTTCGTTAGAAGAGCTCATGTGTTAAGTACGGTCTCCGATCTGACAAATACAATTGCGAAAAATTCGAACGTGATTGGACTTAATGACTTAGATGATATGTGTCAATTTACCGATTTAAGCTACTTTTTACTTTAAGCAGGCTCAGTAATCATAAATCGCCCAAATCCGCCAAACTTTAACAGTTTTCTCTCAAAATTGGTATTATCAATATTACGACAGCATTGACGACCCAACATTACAACCACATCTTAAAGTTAATGAAAATAATTTGCCCAACATTACAACCACGGTGTGTGACCAATCTGTAGACTGCAAAAATTAGAGCATACAAAAAAAACGATTTGAACTACCACAAGAATATACTTAATGCAACACTTCGGTGCCAAACAGGCAGGAAGATTCGCAAATGATCAGTACAACAACCCACCGGTCCTTTTCCATTCGACTTTTCTAAACTAACAGAAAAAGAGGCGCCGTCAATAGCATTCGACGTACAATCGCGTCTAGTATCACGGATGTTGCCGGCGCAATAGACGGTTATAATTTGGAGCATACAGACATTCGAGTTGGTACGTACCCGAGACGTTGTACACGTTCTCAGGAAGCGCTTGAGGGTTTGTATCGGAATAAAAAGGTGAAGGTACCTACCTACCTACACCTGACATTTCTTTTTTGAGGAACGTTTTTTTAAATCCTTGGTTCGTGAACATAAATACCTCGGTTGCGTTCGCTGCGGCCGATTATATTGGTTGTTTAACAGAGATTTGAATAAGATACCAAATGTTTGTGACATGTCAAGTTGCTTCACTTCTTGGCTCTACTGACATTTGTACTCAATCTAGATATACATGAATTCAAGCTGATTTTTCAGTATGCAAACTGATAAAAAACCTTACAGCCTTCACTGTCACCAGTAACGAGTGTCTGTACAAAAATCTGTGACTTCGTCTCATTCTTTCAATAACTTCTGTGATAAACTCTGGTCTGAAGCATGCAGGACTGTTTTAATACATTTCTCAGACGGATAGCAAATGCTATTGACTGAAACAGAGTCAGCACCGGGAAAACTCTACATATTCTTGGAAGCAAGAGTATTACGGTGGATTGTAATCAGCAGAAAAACAACTCCGAATGATAACTCGGATGAGTTCGAGTGCTAACGAACTATTTGCTGTTACTAGCTAACCTTCTTCTAGCGGTTTGATCTCTTCAGTGGTTAGTTTCAATAACTACACCAAAGACGTTGCATTCTCGCGTATATATCGCAAGAAATGCAAACCGATTCTCTCAAATACTACGCCAAGCAGATGCAAAATGATGCAGCTATTGAAGCCCGGTTCGCGACACTTGTTACTAATTGCTGCGGTATGGATGACAATTGACGCATTTTTGTTTCAGCTCATGTCAACGGAGGCAGCTCAGAGTTTGATCTGAGGTTGGTGCCGTTTTAAGTGGGCAAATCCGCACAATTCACTAGACAGAGCTAGCAGTTCTACAAAACCTTTTATCATCAATGTCACTATTTGAGGTACCATCACTTTGATGTCGCACCTAGAGTTATACCAGTGTACTAACCACAACTTTGGATCCCAGCATACAACCATGGTAAAAGGCTCAGTGTCTATGGTATTCGCTCGAAGTCCGAAGGGGAACACAGTCTAAATAGGAACGTATTCTCCCCCATTAGGAGTTGGAATCTCAAATTATCTTCGTTGTGAGCTTTGTTTCACGACATGCCTCGAGGTGAGCTCCTGGATCACGTAACAAGCGGGAATCTCCAACCTTCTCTGTTTGTAAATGCACGTGACTCGAGAAGCATTTAGATTCACGAGGCAGCGTTATGGAACCCTGTTATGGTGATGCAGGCGATGTATTCTCAGACGAGAGCTACGTACCTTGTGATTGAGTATTTCCCTTGTCATGGAGTATTTCCCTTGTCATGGAGTATTTACCTTGTTGTCATATACGTACACAATACGCTACACTCTTTTAAACTCAAATCAAAAGCTCAACGTTTTTTAGGCTAGTGCTGTTTGTGGTGCAGCGATCTAGTACGGAACGGATAGCCTTCTACCCCGTTTTCTGTGCACTGTTCCTACTTGACGAAGCTTCCTCTGTATTGGTAACATCTTTATCGTTGGTACCACATGTCATCAATATGACGCGTAAATCTTGACATAATGAAATTTGACATGAGCGTTCATGTCGACAAGTTACACTTTCATAGATCCTGAATTTAATTGTATCAGAGCATACAACACAATTGGTAACGGGATCAGCATTTGTCAGAAGTTCAAGAATGCGCTGGTTCAAAGTCTTCAGGAAACTCCCAATCAGGCGTCGCCTTCACCGTTTTCATAGAGCAAGACCACTTCTATCGAGAGTAATCACCGCAAGTAGTGCGGGGTTTCGACCATGTGTGAACACAGTGTACTAGTTGAGTGGTTATTAAGCACTGGGGGTGTTGGCTGATGCGCATTAACTTGATTTCTTGGGTTTTAACGTGAAGTCAAAACAGTTGGCACTTGTGCGGATAGCTTGGAACTCTGATGTGAACCCAATGTTAATCTTGATATGTTCAATTGAAAAGCGTAAGTGCATTGGGCGCGGTAGCCAACTTGCCACAGGAGCAGTACTTGAGCTTGATACTGATATTAATTTGCGATCGAAGTGTTGACGTTGAGATTGTTTGTGTCGATTGTGCAGAATGGTTATAATTCGAGCCTGCAAAGTGTGATATTAGAGGCGTGACCCCTGGGTTATGCCTTGAAATTGCGCTATGTGTAGAAGAAGGAATGCGACCAAGAAGCGTAGTTGGTGCATTTAATTCTGGTGTGTGCTGACTTGTGGGATGGTGTGGGTCCGGTGATTGGCTTGTTAAAGTCGTTCTTGGACCAACTTGAATAGCTGGACGTCACTTCGGATAGCCGTAAATTTGCGTTAGGCTTGATATCTTGAAATTAACAGTGGAATTAGAGCCGTTTGCACTTGTGTGGATGGCATAGAGACCTACTGTTGATATCGTGATCACATTGTTTAGCGTTCGACTTGAAAAGACTAGTACACCGGGGCGTGGTAGTCCAAATTGGCTGTGTGGACAGCAGTACTTGTTTTGGAGGTTAAATTCATAGCCGTCTTTATCGTGTCGAGACGTGGAGAGGGTAAAACAAAAAGCTCCGGTGAAGGACGCCTGAGAATGTCTAGAGCGGGAAGCTTAAGCTTTACCATCGAAATAGCTTGCAAGTTTTACGTGTCATGATTAAAAAGTAACTAAGGATCTCACCCTTAATTACTTCTTGTATTTGGCGTAGTAGAATGTCAAGTTGTACACGACTTCTTGACTGCAGGCTTGTACTACATGTATTGCCTTGTCCAGCATGAAGCCTTTGACCGGTGTGGCCTATTAGGCTGGGTTGCTCGAAGCTGTAGCTAGCAGTGGAGAGAGTCGGCGCAAAGTTGAATTGTTGTACACTGCGGAAAATCTTTGTTGGAAGCCGGACAGTAGCGCGGTCGGTGAATACGGAGGGGGTTGCGTCCCATAAATTCCCTTATTCAACTTGGATCCGAGCTTGCTCGTCCTTGTTCTGCTAAAACCCTGTCAGACCTAGTCTAACCTTTCTAGTAGCCGTACTGAATGTCCACCTGGAAAACTGATGCGACGGGTTTAATTCCCGTAGCTGTTAAACTTGACGTTGACATCTCTGTTGACGGTATAACTTGTATTACAGATGTTTTAGAAGTAGTTGTAGTTGCATGTGCCGTCGTGAAGTTATCCAGTCTTGCCATAATGGAGTGCTGAACGGCTGAAGCGGTTGTAGTCGATGTCACAAATGCATTATTTTGCGCGTGAAGACTATTTTCCACTTCATGTACCAGTTGTATCCATGTAAGTTTGCCTTTAAAGCTGCACGTGATTGAAACTGCCGAAAGTGCAGCTTGATGTATGCAAAGGCATGATGACGTACAAAGTCTTGAGAAGTCAACACATCAATGTTGTAATGTCGTTTGGTCAATGAAGTCATAATGCGCGAAGTACACAACATCTCACAATAGTAAAGATTGCATAAAATTGCGTAAGTTCCATAGTGTTGTATTGTGGTATGGTGAAGTCGAATAGAGTGGGAAAGACAATCATAGACCTGTCGAAAGTTCCGATAATATACTTTTTGAAAGGTCGAAGAAAGACTTCCCATTGATGTATTGCCACTTTGCAAACCCAAAAAAGGTGCTGGGCATCTTCTACATTTGTGTATCCATGTACACATGTATTGCTTGATATGACTTCCGCTCTCCATCGAGACTTGTATCGAAATCCTAATGCGTTGTGTTGAAGACGGAACTTAAGGTCGGAGCATACTGGGAGTACATGACAATCCAATCTGTACTCAAAGCACCATATATCGTCCGTTAAAGGTATGCCCGCAATCTAAAGCTTGTAAACTTGGACTTTGGAAGCGGTGTACTCAACTTAGTCTTCAACAATAGTTTAACAAAGTCCCTGTTGGACATGTCCATGGCCATTTTGTCTTCAAAATTTCAGCCATGAGTTGCAGATTCAATGTGAATGGGACGAGTCGGCCCATATATAGGTCCATGTGGGGGGCAGTTCAATTTAGGTCACGACATTCTGTCGGACACCAAACGAATTTCGACGCAAGTCTGGCGAATTGATCCACCTGAAGTTGACTTTCTAGTGGATCTTGTGACACAAAGCATCCATAGCGTTCGACAAAGTCTTGTAGGCTGGTGAACCCTAATGTTTTCAGAAAATCAATAGTGCTTTTACTGGCTTCGGCCAATTGGATTCTAGCCTTGCCAAACGTAAAATAGGCATTGTAATATAACGGCATGACCTGCACAAACCGATTCCAGTCTGTGGAGCCGTGAGTGGTGTGCCGTTCCGTCCATACTCGTGTAGTAGATTTCCAATAGTCAGGCAGTTCCGTCCATACTCGTGGAGTAGATTTCCAATAGCCAGGCAGTCCAGTCCATTGCTCTCCCTTCATATCTGCATATAAAATAGCGAAGCCTGTACCAAGAGAGCCTAATGTTTTTGTAAAGAGTTGAAGTGCCGGAGGTACCATCTGGGTACCGCATTCGACTCACAAGTCGAGACAATTCCATCCCTTGATGTCTTGAGGTGCATAGCGTGGATAAAGGCTTTGATAGGTGTCAATCCTAATCCACCCTTCGAATTACATGGGTAAATTCATTCTTTAGCGAATTTTTCGGCAACTGCGAAATCACTATCCGTACCCTTTGAGTGAACAAAGTTGCGGATGATGACGTCCACACTTTTCAGATGATCCGGTGTAATAGACGTCACGCTGGCTGTGTACCAAAATAGTGGTAAAATGATGCATTGTAATAGCACCACTTTGCCTTGTAATATACGAGCACGGTATTACCAGATGGCACATCGTCTTCGTACTTTACTAACCACATCACCAAATCGTTGTTTGGGTGTCACTGTGGCGCTCTGAAGTACACCTAATCGTACCACACTGTCCGACGCTTGTAACACTTTGAGATCCGTTAAAGCACGTAGTCTGGCCAGTTTGGGCAGGTCGACTTGGAACGTAAACGGCATGACGCACGTTTTATTCATATTTAGGCGTAATCCTGATGCTAACGCGTAATCTTGTACCACATCCAGGAATACAGGTGCGTAATCAACATCAGCTAGTAGACCGGTGCTGTCATCTGCAAAAGCTAGTAGCAATTGTGGGGATGACCCATTGTCAATATCCAACCCCCGCATCGAAACTCGAGCACGTAAGTAATTCATGAGTGGTTCGATAAACAACACAAATTATCCCAGAGATAGTGGGTCACCTTGTCGTTCCCGGCCCCTAATAAAAAGGATCTCCTGGTGAGTTGTCCAACAGCAAACTAACAGAAGTGTGGCTGTAAAATGTTTTGATCCAGGCTCAAAAGATCGTACCAAGTCCGAAGTGATGCAATACCATGTCCAACGCTGGCCACAGTTTACTATCGAAGGCCTTGGCAAAATCGATTAGAACAGCACAAGCGTCCGGGTAAGTTGCTTGCATAATTCTTGTAGGTCTTGGAAGCGAAAAAGAGAATGACGGATAGACCTATTAGGTACAAACCCACTTTGATCTTCATGTATCAGCGAAGGAAGCACCAGTCCCAGTCTCCGCGCCAGAATCTCGGGACCAAGCTTAGCATCATGGTTCAGCAGCGTCAATGGACGGTAGTTTTCAGGCTGCGATCTGTCTCCAGTCTTGTATTGCAGCGAAAAGTGCGCCGGTCATTGAAACTTTTCTTAGTCATCTCTCCCTTTGATAACTGATTGTCGTGGATAACCTCGTATATGCGGGCCCACAGATTCGGCGAAATCTTGTAGTACTCAATCGGTGATCCGTCGGGGCCCGGCGCTTTTCCATTGGAGGATTTTATGATCGCCTAGTATAAGTCGTTTGCCGTGATGAGCGCATCGAGCAAACGCTGTTGTGCTGGCGTAAGCTTTGCCACTGTTTGACATAGAATTCGCGCTAAGCGAAGTGGCTGATATGAAGCATTCCGTAGAAACCTAAGATCCGGCGAAATCGATTAGAATAGTTGCCCTTAAAAGCTGCGGTGTCTCGTCTCGATTTCAACAGGGTCGTCGCTTCTCGACCCATCGTCACGTTAAATTTCGGTGATGGGAGACCTGAGACAGACCTATTTTGTTGGCCGAAAAATGTGCTTTGTTGCCCGCTCACTAAGATGTAAGTTGGCTGCAAATTTGCCCATCGCGTTTCTTTCTTGAATCGTCTTCTTGTGATCGGCTTGTGTTTGTTGTAGTGCTTGCTTGTTACAGTCGATCGGAGCCAGATTGAAGAGGTCGATGGCATCATTTACCGCGGCGACTCGTATGGCTATATCCCGCGCATCAGCTTGTCGAAGGTTGACCCATCGACTGCGAAGATAAATGCAATCGGAACGCTTGTGTTCATCCGGAAGACATTATGCGATTGCGCCTTTAAAATTTCGAATACGTGCTACCAGTCGCTTCGCCGATGAGGCAAGGTAAGTGATGACATTAGGATCTCGTAGAAACCATGTGGGGCATCGCCACGGCGCGCGCCTCATTGTTGGCATAAACTTCGCTTGTAGCCGTAAACCAATTGGAATGTGGTCCTCGTTATGCCACTTTCGATCCCTTATATGTTTGATCTCAGCAAGATGATTTTGTACTATATCACTGTTAGGAAACAGTAATCCAGTCGGTTTTTGCGTTTTGGGCTAGTGTAGTCCTTTGTACCCTGATGCACAAAGCGCCATGCGTCGAGCAAGCCCAACGCGTCAAGCCAATCACCCAGTTCTTCTCTACCAGTACCCGGGTGCAATTGGGGAGGTGAAGCTTGATCCAGAAAAGAGTCCATTGTGACATTGAAGTCATCCACTTGGCCATCTTCATCCGAGTCGTTGAAAAGGAAGTTAGTGAGAAGTGCACGAAAAAGTCGCCACGTTGTGGGGGTTCATCAGGTGCGTAAACAACATGTATATACATCGTCTGAGTACCAAGCGTGGGCTTGAGTAAAAAATATCGATTGCGTAATTGGTCCTTGTAGACTAGACTAGTGAGATCCTGAACTTCGCCAAACGGTCATACAATTTACTCGGAAAGTAATAAATCAAAATGCAACAGCACTACAGGTAATAACAATACGGTTGTGGGTGTCGACTTCGTTGTTGCTAGCCTCCGCGTCGTTTACCAGTTATACCGAACTGACCACATATATGATTGTAATTATTTCTATCAGCCAATATAAAGCCTTCCTTTGAAACTACACCATCACGTATTGCTAATGAAATGATCTCGATGACGTTAAGACATGTTTTTGTGCCAGTAAAAATACACTAATTGCAATACACTTCGTGGGCATGTTTCCAATATGGATATATGTGATAAACGTTTTTACCACGTTTAGCGCTTGTTTTAGGTTTGCGCTTCATTTTGATAATCCACTTGAAAACTTCATTTCAATTGTTAATATGACTAAACAAGTCTGTACTCACACCGCGAGATATTAGTTGTCGCAATAAACTAACATATATGGCTCTAGAAAGTGGCTAATAACATTGGTATTGTTGAACTACATAGAATTCTATTTTATTTTCCGATTTGTTTAAAAAACACTTCAAAGTCGTAATATCAGTTATGAAATGATAAGAGATGTACTAAGAGCCTCACTCAACCTATTGTTCCCACAGCCCCTCAAAGAAAACACACAGACTGGTGTGACGAGAAAGCAATAGACTTGAAGAAAAGAAAGGACTTCAGATTTTAAAGTGAATTTTGCATCTGAATCAAAATGAGTTAATAGATCATGGAGCTACATGCAAAACCCAAGAGCTCCTGGAGGTTTTACTATTAAGACCTTGGGGTCCTGATTTACAAAATTAATGGGTGTACCGACGTTAAACCTCAGCTTGACCTTATACAAGATATTGGACGTACGGAGCTTGAGCTTTAAAAAGCTTGAGCTGCAACATTTGAAAAAAATATCCAGTATAAGTGACTGGCTTACGTTACCCACGTCGGTCTGTTTGCCAGTACACATCCCCAAGCATGATACAGCATTTGTTTCACACAGAATTTATGTGACTTCATATAAGATGCCAAATATGCATGTAGGAACACCAAACATACTGTAATTCCGACAATTTATACAAAAATTACATAGAAATATCTTCATGTAATTGCTTAGTGTGGCCCATTCCATCACCCCTTCCTTTAAGTAAGAATTACTTTGATACATTTGCAGACCTTTTGGGGCCGCTCACTTTCCAATAAACAATGAAGTGATGAATTGACCAAGCCAACTTTGACGAGTGGTGTTTGCCGCTTAGGCAAACAACAGCTCCAGAATTCTTTGTCGTGACCATCATTCTCAACCGAGATGGAGACTAGGCTTTCTACATGGAGCTTTTCTTTGTTATTGTCGGATCAACAATCTTGATGATTCGACCCAGCCCATCGTAGCTAAGCTGAACTCCCATGACCCCAGCAAGCCTCAAGCTAGGTAACGGATTGCAATAGACCTAGA